AAATTCTTCAGATGGCGGTTAGGCATATTTGACAAATGTTGAAAATATATTTCCTTTTCAGAAAGTATTTTTCAAAGCAGGTATCAATGTACAAAACTCGAGGTAGGAAAAAATCATTACATGATTACCAAACTCAAGCTAGAACATTTAACATTGTATGATTTTTCTGTGTGCTTCGGAATCAAAAATTTTTTTAAGAGACCGTAAGTCGGAGAGAAAACGTGTAAAGCTACTTTTAAATAGATCATACACAGAACGCCTGCATTTGCTGTATTGTGTTAATTCTGAATGCAAGGCTTCTTCTCAAAGCAATAGAAATTCGATAATAAAATTATGATCTGTAAATGGAACCATGATGTATGCAGGTAAATAAGAAATGACAGTTCGTCCCCACACCTCCACATAACTGTATATGTAGTAGACTCGTGGTTGCATGAAAACTAGACGCATCAAAAAGTCATCTTAATACGATATGACTGTTATACAGAAACGCTGACATAAACACGTGCAGCGGTGTGTTGTCGACATTCATACTGAGTCACATAATGCGGGGTTATGTGTTTAAGTATTCCGTTATTATATTTACAGATATAAATATAAGGTTTTATAGTCAAAAGCGCAATCAATCGCTTCAATTTATTTTTTATGAATTTTTGATTTAAATAATTGTGTGATAAATATGATATTCTGTACTCATTAAGGAATTGCATGAATGCTGAAAATAAATATCTCTATCGGTGATAATACATGTACAAGAGTTAGTCCAGAAAATGTCGTTTCCCTATAAAATATCGGAACAAATTCGTATCAGAAAACTTGTCATCATTTATTTATTCGCCGATCTCGGCTGGGTATCCAGTTTACATAACAAAACAAAGCATACGTTAAAATTCCATGAAATAGCCATTCCTTTTATTTAAGATCAACATTTAACTATCAGAGTGATCAGATTACAGAGGTTTAATTTAGCTATATATTACAGTGGTCGGATTATAGAGGTTATATTTAGATAAACATCACAGTGGTCGGATTACAGAGATAATATTACATATACATCACAGTGGTCGGATTACAGAGGTAGCATAAGCTATTCATCACAGTGGCTAGATAATAAAGCCTACAATACATATACATCACAGTGGCCGGATTACAGAGGTACCGAAGCTTAAATATCACTGGTCGGATTTCAGAGGTAACATTATCAATATGTCACAGGGGTCGGACCACACTATATATCATAGTGTCTAGATAACAAAGATTAAACATCACAGTGGTCGGACTACAGAGGTAACATCTCTTATGCATCCTTTGGATTCGGACTATAGAGGTAACATTAGCTATACATCACAGTGATCGGATACAGAGGTAACATTACCTATATATTACAGTGGTTGGATTATAGAGGTAACATTACCTATACTTCACAGTGACTAGTTTACAGAGGTGATAATGGTTTTACATCACAGGTGCCGGAATATAGAGGCTCTAACAATATCAACAATGCATTATCAGTGAACAGTTCCGTCCATAGGGTTTCCGTGCCCATTTGAACACTGACGTGAAGTCCGCTACTTAACGATGTATATTCCCCGGCCAATGGGTTAAGTAGGTTGCCATGGCATGCTGTGTCAACTACAAACACATGTAGATATAGCGAGCCACTGTTACATGTACATCTGTCCATTCCATTGCTCACAGACATGTCACAGAATCAATATCAATCAAACATCAAGTTTTACAGAAACTAAAAACAAATCCGAGAACGATTTGTCAACTTAACACTGCAGTTATCTCAGTGTGACGGTATCTAGCACCCAATCCAGAAACACTGTTAGCTTAACGGTGCATTGTCTCAGTGCCGCAGGAATTATCACAAAACTAAAACAAAATCTGTCAACCTAGCGATAACAACTATAACACAAAATCTAGGAAAGAACTGTTAGCTTAAATGGTGCACTCTCTCACTGTAACAGTAACTAGCACACAATACAGCAAAGATTTGTTAGCTTAATGGTACATTTTCACAATAACTAACACAAAATGCAGCAAAGATTTGTCAGCTGAACGGTGCATCGTCACAGTCGCTAACATCCATTACAGCAAAGATTTGTCAGCTTAACGATGCGTTGTCACAGTAACTAACATCCAATACAGCAAAGCTGTGTTAGTAGAATCGTATATATTAGCTGGCTGTTATTGAAAGTTATTCCCCTCTCAGCTTTATACATATAAACATTTTTTTTACTTTTTCATTAATTGTCTCTCGCTGTATCATCTAAAGTGATAAATAAACACGTTAACGTTTTTTATTGACGAGGATTTAGACAATATGAAACGCAAGTAAATCTTCTCTTTATTTAATTTTGTTAATCACATTTTTATCTGTGCCCATTTATATATACTACATTCGTTTTTGTACTAATGATAGAACAGCACAAGCTAACTCACATTGCAACTCTACCAAAGGTATTCATAGTCAAAAAGTTATTGTTTACACGAGGGATGTGGTCTATAACGCATAGCAACGTTTTGTTGAAATAAGCCTGCTCGCTATCAAAACATGCGAATTGAAGTTCTCACATCAAAGAAACAGATAGCAAACAGCATCCACATGTATCCGTATGGTCTTAATAGCATTTGTCATATCACTGACAAATGGAGTAAATAGAAACGAACAATCAGAAGTATATCGGCATCCATTACATTCGTCAATATTACTTTAACTCGTGAATGTAGGATCATTCATTTAGGGGGGAAATATACTCCACATGAATCTGCAGATGGTTGTATGTATGGAAATGTATTAATGTAACGCCATTTTTAATGTAAAGATTTAGCATCTTCTCAGGGTACCTTATTGAGGATTGCAAATGTTGGACAATATAAATCCTTTTTTTTTGTATTTAAGACATTTATCTCCCCCACCTCTACAAATGTACGTCACACCTCCCTCTCGTGGAACATGTATACAGGAGTAATCCTACCCCGAGGGTTGAAATGTTCTCATCTCGTACCCAATGGGAAGAATTATTCTTTTTCTCTCACCCCAAAACTGGGAACTGATTCATTTTTTTCTATAACATGTTAACACATAATTATTTTCTGTAAAAAAAATACTGCTTTGATAGCCAAGCCCATATGACATTTCTTATTACAGACCGTGATGTCACTCAATTGCTGAGTTATAATGATAAGGAACCAACCCACATCGGAAAAACAATAAATACATACGTTCAGGGAATGATAAACATGTGTCTTACATCGCCGTTATAAGTGACCCATTTCTCCTCGAAATTCTTGCTAGGAAGTGTGGAAAGCAAATCGTTTGACGTTTAGAATCGGGTCTGTTGACATTTGGAAATATAACTTCATCTCAGTAAAATACGTCATTAGATTCAATTGCCATTTTGATCAGTAGAAAGATACAACCCCAACCCCACCCCCAACCCCTGACATTTCCTTAAGGAAATAAACTGGTAGTATAGCTCGCTTTGAAGGTTTTCTATACAAAAAAATTGTCATATTTATTGCTTCATCCGCATTGCTAGTATCGATTTTGCCAAAAGCGAAGAAAGAGTAAATTAATTTTGTAGGTGTGTGGGATATTGAAAATTCTGTCCCCATACCTATTAGGACAAACTGTAGTTTTTCCTATGACTGGAATCACCAACAAATACCCATTAGAAAACAGTCCATTACGACAGGAACAATGGTAAAGTCACAAAATGTGTAATGGACAATCATATTCAACATGTGATTGCCTTTCGCTATCCGAATCCTGTTTTAAATAGCTTCACTACCACACAGCCGCTTTAGGTAAGATGTTAAAAAACAATATTTTGAAAATAGATTTTAGAAATATGAAAATTTGTCTAAACTGTTCGTTGATAACCTTAATTCCTGGACATGTATTTTTCGTTTTTCTGGTTAAATGATAATGCCAAAAAAAACTAATCCTGAAAGTTACAATAGCATACTGAAATAACACATACTTATGTTACCGGCAACTTCACGTAGCAACCAGCGATATTGTTTTATTTTTAAAAGGTTTCTATATGCATTATAAAATTCAAATGATCGTTACTGGGACAATATGACTTACCCGATATTGGTACAGTTTGAGGGGGGGGGGGGGGGGGGAATGAAAATACTAAATACATAGCTATGATAATGAAGTTTTATAAAATCTGTTCCTATTTACAAAGCGTAAGTATATCAATGAGAAATAAAGATAGACATACAAATATACGCATGAAAGTAAGTGATAATTATGATATCGCTGTCATATTGAGGTTTCCAACAATATTTCAAAATATTTGTAATAACTGCTACCGTATTGTATAGTTATACCTAATTCATGGGTCAAAGAAGGAACGTACGTGCTTCACAATTTCCCTGCAACCTCGATGCCACTCGTAAGGTCAATGAACGCAAACTGAAAGCAGTGTATGGCTTAACTAGAACTTGCATAGTTGCATTGTCTTGCCCTTAAGTTTACTGTTTTCACTCTCTGAACGGGTGTATCGTGGAATTTAATAGGTGTCCTAACGTACTTTATTTATTTTTCGACTTATTTCTTAGAACTTACTTTAGGATGTCCTCCATTTCCTACAAGACTGTTATGTGAGTGACGATTGTGGTCTTGTATATAGCCATTTTCCATTTTTTCTGATAAACATTTAGTTTCAAATTGAGAAAGCATAACTCAAAAACAAATATGACAAGGATGGTCTATTTAAACACATTTGTCTAGAGATTAAATAAATAACATGTGTATAGACTAAAGAAAGAAAGAAAAACTGAGACTTTTAACAAAAGTTATAATTCATTTCAAAGTTGCAATGCAAGCACTGAAGTATTGAATATGTTGATAAACAACAAATCACAGGTTATATCATTTAAGATGATAAGGTTTTCTGATGTCAAATTCCATTCAGACTCTCAAATCTCTAAGCCTCTCTCTCATCCAATTTACTAAGAATCTTTTTTTCTACTTTCAGTCTGAAGACCAGCATTATGAAATTCTTGGAAACATGTATACTGGCACTTATGTTAATTACACAACATATCCTCGCTGATGGGCCAGGTAAGGAAACACCCCGGAGTGGGATATGCGACAGCATCAGAAGCTAGTTTGTAACCACCCAAATACGAAATCATTGGTGTTGCTTAGCTAGACTAAAACAAAGCAATGCCATGAAGATACTGTTGGCTATTGTGAATGATTGTGTGTGAGCGTTGTATCAGATATTATATCGAACTCTTTTGTACAAAGGTATTAGCTTACCTGGAACATTACATTTTGATATACGATACTTCAATGAAAAGCTCTGTGTTGTCCTTTAAACTGAAGGGAAATCATCGTTAGCATTGTATTCTACGTCAAAGAGTGTAGTCTGCTGGGAATTATCTCGTCTAAACGAAACACTTATATGTAGGTGGCACCGTATTCCTTTCATTATTTACAACCATAATGATGAAGGAGATATACTATTAAGTCTTGAAAAGTGTGTTGAAGAGGAAGGAAATTAATTGGCAGTAATATGGCTTATATGTAAATTGTAAATATCATGTTATATTTCGCAGTTTACATATTCTTTTCTGCTTTGATTAGTTGAGGGGTTTGTTTAAACAACAATTAAACTAGATATACTGAACCAAATGCAGATGATATATAAACCGATACAATGGTTAAATATCGATCTTATCTTTCCAATTTCATTTATACATCAATCAAATCTGAAACCTGTTAATTAGAGTCATATATATCTGTATGAGCGATGGATGTAATGGACCAGGATCCAAAGCGTCAGGAATTAGTACATATATTACATAAAAGTCGTATTAGAATCATCAGTATTTTGATAATTATTAGATTGAAGCAATAACAAATACTTGAGTTTCACAAAGATCAAAATAATATACAAATATGAACAAGGTAGCTCTTAAGTAATGGATATTGTGATATTATTCCAGGAATAAATAATGGTCTCGAAGATTTGCCGTACATTTAAAAAAAATGGGTATTGATTAATGGTATATATTAGGACTGGTTGTTTTTATTCGGTTACATCAGTTATATGTAATAACGATTTGTAAAATGTATGTTCATGATTTTTTTACATTTCAGATTTTCATTTTAAGTCTATTTAAGAGTTTCCTTGGTGTTTTGTTATTTACATTATTATAAATTATAGATGTTTTACATAACAGATGAACAAGGCTGCAGGTAACATTGTAATTGTGAAGAACCAGATTATGGAAATAGTTTGTAATAATTGAAAATGCAAACAAAAATATGGTATTAATATCAGGCTTTCTTGAAATTCATTCAGCAATAGTACATAAAGAGCGCGTGTACCATTATCACCGATAATATCTTCCATTCCTTTCAGACTAAACGTAAAGTTGTGAAACGTATGCTTGATATTGTGTTTTAAGATATATTAGATGACGATTTCCCGACTAGATATAATGTTCACATTTATAATAACTACTTAAATGTTTTTTATAAATCAGAATGAAGGATTTCGAAATTACGAAATAATTTCAAGACGAATAATATTTAAGAGTAAAAAGAACCCTGTCGTGTTAGGAATAATAACACGTTAAGCTGAAATGAAGACAATCTCGTTGTATCAAAACTCTTAATAGGAAATCAACAAATAAACAAAAATGTTTGATCTTATAATATGCATAATGAAAACAACTAGTGTTATTAAACATCATGTGACTAGTGTACCGTTATCTTGTTAATAAAATATACATTTTCGATCCGTTGGAATTGGCAAAATGGCTCTCTGTTTGCTAAATCTCCCATTGCATATAGTTATATATCTGCGTTTGAATTAAAATGTCTTTCAAGAAGATGGCAATGGTATGCGATGCATTGTTGTGACAATTCGGCTGTAACATACTCATAGAGCGATGTCGCGAGGCGCAAGGCCGCATTGCTCTCACTTATTAAGTTTCTTCTATTCTTTTAATTAAACTGTTTAAACGTAGCAGGATAAATGAACAATTTAAAAAAATTGTCATCCAAAAGGTATTTCCTCCGGAATATATACATATATATATTGACTGTGCCTTCCTAAAACGAACATATGTCAATTGTGTTTATTATCTTTTCACGATGCACCAATATGTTCTGTTATCAGAATATATATTTTTTGTTGATTTTAATTTCCATGATCTATCAATTTTGTGGCGTTTATTCACATGAATCAATTGTGTCACTTTCATTTTTATAAATCAGTTAATGTTCAATACCTCTTTATGTCTTTTTATCTATCGCATTTAATCGTTTTCACATTAATACCTTGATGTATATTTTATGTTTTACCTCTGAATAATTATTGATTCAGACACACTTAGGATCACTTATATTTCAAGCAGTTACGAAATCAATTGAGAGAAGACAATGTCAACTTAACCGAAAGTTTCATCTTCAAGGTTTTCAAGTAAAAATCAATAGCTAAAGGAAAATTAACGTCTTATTAAATGATATCCAAAAATGCTTTGTTCAAGATGTGTCGGAAAAATAATTCATACATACAAATTTATTAAATTTCTGCTATATTTATAAATTTTGAAGCTAAATTTTTAGCCACTTTGATGAATCAATATTATTTTTCTCGTATCAGATTCAAAATGACACATCTAGAAATGCTTAATGTCGTTACTTTATTACTTCCGTAAAAGCGAAAAGTAACAAAATATGAGAGCTTTCTAATATACTTTTTCATATGGCTGCAAATTCAATTCTCATGATTTTTGTTTTCTTTCTTTTCCTTGCGGCAGGTGCGGCAGGTTCAGATGCTGCTGACAGGCTGGAACAATACGACGGCAATAGCGGAACAGACATATTAGCGCAAGAGATAAAGCGGGCGCGTATTCCGCAGTTTGTGGGTAAAAGGGACTACTTTGCGAATGACGATTTAGATTTATCTGATGACAGTCAAAACATGCCAATAGAAGTTGCACAAGCAATTGAGCGAAATTTGCTCTCCAGCTTACTCGGTGGGTCAAACGAAGGTTTGCCCGATGGTTCTGAAGGTGCAGCGCAAAGTGAATATTTTGGCAGACAAACCCGTTACACACCTTCGATGGTAGGCCGAAGAAGCAAATGGGTGCCTAAATTCGTTGGCAAGCGACGAGGTCCACTTTTTGTTGGCAGGAGAAGATCTCCATATTTCGTTGGGAAGCGCACTTCACAAACAGATAACAATTTGGCGGCAGAAAAGCGTAGGAACCCCATGTTTGTCGGAAAGCGTGCTGATCCAGTGCTGGTAGCGAGAGGTTTATCAAAGCCAATGTTCGTTGGACGTCGAGGTCACCCGATGTTCGTCGGGCGACGAACGGCCAGCGGTGACCTTGATAGCTCTATATTTATGGGAAAAAGGTCAGTTGAAAATCTTAAATCTGGTCAAGGTTTGACTAGTCGCAGGAAACGATCAGTAGACAAAACAACTGAACATGTTGCAATCAATACAGCCACGATAAAAGCTATAAACCAAAATAAGGCGAGACAACGATTTCACTCTAAAGTGAAACGAAAAAAGCGAGATAACTATTCAAAACGCGATCGACAGAAACGCGATAGTGATTTTATTTTAGATAAAGATAGGCGGAACTTTGATGCACCCTTTTTTGTCGGTAAACGGGGATCAAATCATTTTGAAAAACTATCAGCAACGTCCAGTAGAATCACAACACTAAATTCACACGACTCAAAAATGCCGGTTCTTGTAGGGAAACGAAATCGTGAATTCAATATACCAGATTTCGTTGGAAAGCGATCACAACATCCAAGTGATATGCTAAGATTTCTGGAAAGACAGACTACATCCAGAATAACACAATTAAATAATTTAAATCCTCCCACGCTCAATCAATTCCCAAGTTCACAATATAAACGTTACAGCCCCCATCATTTCATTGGTAAAAGATACCCCCCTCCTAATTTCATTGGTAAACGATATAGCCCTCCTGATTTCATTGGTAAAAGATATAGCCCTCCCAATTTCATTAGCAAACGTTACAGCACCCCAGATTTCATCGGAAAGCGTTATAGCTCTCCTGGTTTCATCGGTAAACGTTATAGTCACCATGATTTCATTGTCAAACGTTCCAGCACCCCAGATTTCATCCGTAAGCGTTATAGCTCTCCTGGTTTCATCGGTAAACGTTATAGTCCCCATGATTTCATTGGCAAACGTTACAGCCCCAATGATTTCATAGGTAAACGTAACAGCCCCAATGATTTCATCGGCAAACGTTACAGCCCCAATGATTTCATCGGTAAACGTTACAGCCCTCCTGATTTCATTGGTAAACGTCACAGCCCTCCTGATTTCATTGGTAAACGTAACAGCCCCAATGATTTCATCGGTAAGCGTTACAGTCCTCCTGATTTCATTGGTAAACGTTACAGCCCTCCTGATTTCATTGGTAAACGTTACAGCTCCAATGATGATTTTGATAAACGTGGATATCATTATAGCTCTATTGCGGTTGAACGTAAACGAGGATTTATTTCCCCTGATTTCATAGGTAAACGCGAACTTTCCCACAAGTTCCCAACTCTAGGTAGAAAGGGAGGACTACAAGAGGAAAATTGGAAGAACAAAAAACGTCAAACTGATATACTTGAAGAACTTTCCAAACGTCCGGTGAATGCAGTTAATTCAAAATATCAATACGATCCAAGCAATTTCTTTCAAATGTCAAAAGACACCAAAATAGATTCAGAAGTTCCGGAAACTTTAAGCAAAAGTCCAAATCAATTAGATAATAGGAGCTATCCGGAGGTGACAGAGTTCCTACCAGCAATAGAAGATGATAACGAAGACCAGTCAACTTCCGGCGAAACTCCAACAAGTGATAACATGTCTAGGTTTATTAGAAAACGCAGTTCTGAGGTTATTCAGGAAGACCGCGAGATCACGTTCACTCCTCCTGATTTTATAGGAAAACGTGCTTATAGTGAACCAGACATTGGAGATATGGAATATGTGTCATCGGATCGCTCAGAACCTTTCAATTTCCCCTATTTAGGGACATATCGTTTGAACCTAGGCAAAAACGAACCATATTCCGATCTCGGAATGCGACCAAGGATTTCAGCTTCCAAATTTCCGTCTGGTTCCCTATCCAAAACTCCGTCCCTTGATACGAGCTTTCTCCATTTTTTCCCCTTTCAAAGTGCAACGTCTTTTAATTCGCCTAACTTCATAGGAAAACATTCTATGCAGTCAGGTTTTGTGCAAACTGACTCGTTCGATAGACATCTAGCCTCATCGCCGGGCTTGCATCTACCAAAAAGGCGTCGACAGACTTTTTTACAACCAAACATGGAGTCGACGTTAGTGCAAAGTTCAATGTTTGGCAATGGCGAAACCAAGAGTGATCTTGATGACGAACTCAGTGTGTCGCTAATATCTGACTTTGCTGGGGATACCAGTGTAGGTCTCTTTGGTAGCATACCAGAAAGAACATAGACACAATCTCGTAAACAACCGGAAGCGCTGAACACAATAGCAGAGGCGTAAGTCTTGAATGTCAGTTTCTTCTGCGATTCCTTGACTGCTAAGCCTTTCCAAAACGGTGCAACAGTACAATACCTCCTCGAAGGTTTCAAAATTACAGAATGGGTTGGGGGGGGGATGTTCCTCTGGTTATTGAAAGCATAAGATATATATTTTTAAGAACCTTGCATATTATAAATTTTACTTCTTAAGAGGGAATGCATCTTTATTTTTTCATTTTTTAATACATTTATATCGAAGTTTTTGTTTTGAATAACAACATTTTCGAAAACGAAAATCTGATGTATTCCTAATCAAATAGAATATAGTGTTATTAACATCAAAAGGACAGCATAAATGCAATATGTTATCAGTAAGGTACTGGAGAGGTAGGGGAGGGCAGGTAGGGAACTTTTTGTGTAGGAAGAGGAGTGTGTTGTGCTGTCCAACTTCCCTACGGATGCTCGGCGTCCAAACTCTTCGTATCCCATATTGCATGTCGGCGTATTGATGAATGCAAGACGATGTCCCCGTGTTGACGTCATGCGCCCTGTCCTGTTATGACGTCATTGTTGACCGCAGATGTGATGACCTCATCAGCATGATGTCGATTTGCATATCTTTAATCTTCCCTACTGTTGCATAATAAGTTAACCATACTAACACGTTTATTTCTCGTCGAAACCTTAACATCCGAAGTGTTCCTAACTAATATTCATTTCTTTTCATTGTAACCAGAAACTAACTAGTTCATTAATATAACTGCTTTCAATATCTACTAACACAGTTTATTACTAACTTGTATTTGTAACTTTTTTATGCTTAAACAATTTTCGTGTGAAAATGGCTTTATCAACATTTATATTGAGGTGTGTTCACCATATTATGTGTGTTGCTCATGTGTTCTTCCATCATTTTCTTTGTCAGCGAAACTTTGTCCATGATCCGTAAATGTGGAAATATTATTCCTGTAAAATACTTGATTGACTCGTGTTTATTAAAAAAATAAACAGCGCGTGTTCAAAAACGCAAACAAAATGAAATGTATACAGATGCATATTGCAACTAAACTTACAACGTAATTCTTTTCCTCCTCGCGAGTGGTTTGAAGGGTCAAACTACGAGTATTTCCACTACTTCGGCAATGACAAAGTCATCATTATTTATTAACAAATATAAAAGCAGGGTAACAAAGCTTTCAGAATATCTGGAATCCTGAACAAGGTAGGTCTTTTTACATGTGGGGAAAATACTCAATTTCAAATTTGTGGATTATATATATTATATATAATTGAGCTTCTAGAACAGCTTAATGAACGGGAAAATAAGCATTTATTTTATCCCTAATTACCTACATGTAATTATGTCATTAATCTCCTGTGTTAAAATGTATTTTTGTTTCAGATTGAGATGCGTCCCATCACCTTTGTAGTAACAGTGATATTAACAGATGATATACAACATTTATGCTCTTGTATTGTTAACACAATTATCGTGTGATAGTTTTATAATCAATTTACAATAATCATTGAGGAAACAAAACACCTATATATATCTACATTATATAATTCTCATGTGCAGCGTTTTTTCTCCAAGTCAGCTTAGGAAAATATTTACAACCCATTTCCTTTAACACAAAATGAATACTGTTTAAACATATAAAACCCTTGGGGGGGGNGAAACCGATCAGCAAAATGAGGAAAACGGTTCGACTCAAGTCGATTAAAAAAAAAGTTCAGTCATGGTTACGTGTCCGGTCATTTTTCTACCAAATACGGGCCTTTATAAAGTTATTTTTCTACTAGATTCATGTTGTGTCATCTTTAAAACCTACACAGATATTTAGAGGCTGTGCATATTTTTAAGAGAGTATGAACTGCTACTCGCAAAGCTCCTTGGTTTACAATTTAGTGGTCTGGGATCAAAAACTTGTTACAGAATCAAAACTTTGTTGTGAACAAGCAATCGCGAATAAGAAAAACGCCGTAAATATAACAAAGTTCGCTAGGAAGTTCTACCTTAAATGTTTTGGTTTTTGTTTTAGTCAAGTTGCAATATCATCATTAAAGAATCTGCAATATGTATGAAGACTAAACATGAATGACTATTTCTTTAACATGGATATTTGACTTAATCGGTTAGTAATGCTCATTGCGATTAAGGACCTTATGTTATACAGCTTTAGCACATGTAACAAGCCGAGAGGTGAAGTGTTTAGTAATCCATGCCACACGATAATGTAATAGCCTTTATCAGTGTATTTACAATGCTCTTGCTCGAACCATTTGCCAATCTATTTCCCAGTCTCGTCGACAGGCACGACTTGTTTGTCATGTCTACGTGTTCATGTCCGTTCTGGCACGAGGAAAACATGCTGTTTCTTTTCCGTCTTACACTGTGGAAGTCTGCGCGTTGTCCGTCAACCCGTGTATGTCCAAGCAATTTTTAACGACAAACCACTCCGATAGTTGACCTGCATACGCTTCTGTTCTATTTAAACACATCAGGGTGTGTTATAATGGCGTTAACTTCGTCGTGGTGGGTCGTCTTTGCAGGAAAAGACATTCGACGCCACACAGTGTGTCGCCGGTCAGTTTTCTATTTATTAATGGCTTCGATTTTTTCAACTTGGTATCGAACATTATACCATTAGATTGAGTATTTAAAACCATCAAAGGTCAGACAAAGACTGTATCTCAAATACAACATAAAGCACGTGCGGTTGACATTAATAGACAAACAAACACGAAAGTATAAGGGGCACGTCATATGTGTATGAAACATTTGTGGCAAACAACTTATATTTATTGAAATAAGAACATGTTTATCCCAATGGTATTATTTAAATAGGAGAAACATTTGTTTCAAGAGACTATCGACATTTCAACACTTCACTATTGCCAGGCTGTTTGGTATTTTTATAGAGCTTAATTAGTATAGTGTGTATTAAAGAACACAGATATAAGTGCCTAGTTAAGTCGATAAAAGACAGTTCATGTCATCCTAAAAAGAAAATAAGGTGTCCTTCATAAAGAACATAATCATCATTGTATTTTAGGTCTTTTGGGACTGATATTACTTAACCCTAACTTGGTGAATATAGTACTTACCTGAGTTCGGTGATTGGCATTACTTCGGTGACTGATAGGATTTACCTGAAGTCGGTTTCTGACATTATTTACCTGAGTTCGGTGACTGATTTTACTTACCAGAAGTCGGGTAACTGATATTATTTACCTGAAGTCGGTTACTGGCAGTACTTACCGTAGATCGGTGACTGATATTATTTACCTGAAGTCGGTGACTGACATTATTTACCTGAGTTCGGTGACTGATATTACCTACCTGAGTTCGGTGACTGAAATTTCCTTACCTGAAGTCGGTCACTGACATAACTTACCTAAAGTCGGTCACTGACATAACTTACTTTAAGTCGTTAACTGACATAATTTACCTTAAGTCGGTGACCGACATTAATTACATGAAGTCGATGACTAAAATTATTTACCTAAATTCTGTGTTGGATATTAGTTACATTTGCTATTACCTAACACCGTTCTTGGTGACTTTTTGTCTGTTTTCATGATTCCGTAGTTAGACTTGTTATCAAGTATGATTTATAATTTACTTCTTGTTTGTATACGCTTTGGTTGATTGTTAATTCACATGATGTCAATATCGGCATCTTGTTGATTAGATGGACTCGAGGATGAGCCTGTTGTTTTGGCTCATTTAATCTGTGCATTGCTGTTAGGTCTAGCTTTGTTTGGTTTATCAATTAAGCTACATCTTGTTTATTTATAGGATGTGGTATGTCTTGACTTCATGTTGGATGACTTCGAACGAGTTTAAAGTAGTTATCGACTGATATTGATTATGTCAAGAAACAACGTATATACTGGAATATTTCTAAACCGAAAGTCGTACTCTGGCGTCGTACTGTGAACTCTTTGATATTGTCACTCTCGCTGAAAAGTGGTCACTAGATAATCGAATCTCCCTAAACAACAGGGACATTAACTCTTTGTCAGAGATAATCACTAACTTGAGTTATTTGAGGATGGTTATTGTGAACATAGAACGGTACTACGCGTGTTGCTAGGTATGTTCTCCGAAAAGGACACTGGTAATCAATTGTAAGTTTATTATTGTGGTGAGCTATTTTGTAGAGCTTTCTGGGGCGTCAAAATGATTTACAGTCCAGCATTGACCTTCTAAAGTGTCAATCCCTACTCTTAAACCGAGCTATATCTGGTTATGTAGAACTGCGTGATTAGCAATTGTTTATATTCATTAAACCATTCAACCGCGGAAACGCGAAAATTGCATTGCAGCAAACGTGAGATCGGATATATACATTATTAGTTTTTCTAAAATTTAATCAGGAAATCATGAACAGGGGAGTCACTTAACAAAAAAAATACATATCCGATACTGTTATATCCTTTACGAATAGTTGAAATTTCTTTTATTTCGCCTGTTATTCATTACGTTCATCATAAACACGGATTACAGCTAATATTTAAGGTCCCTTTGGGTTTGTAATAAGCATGTTTTAAAGTAGTTAACTAATTTCTAACGTCTCCTTGGGTTTATTATATATATAATATCTCTTGGAGGGGGGGGGGGAATAGAATTCTCTGAAGTAAAAAACGTAAGTTAGACAATTGAATTGACAATTAGGAGAAATTGAATAGATTAGACTCTTAATAGATAAAGTAACAAGCACATGATCTACATTTGGATAATCATAGTAGAATGCACATCTTTAAGTTCATTTTGAAACCAAATATGTTCAGTTTTTATCTTTGTCTTGGTCTTAGATTTGCTGATACGGGATCTATTGGTATCTCAATCCTACATTTGACATTTATAAACTCTTCCCATCTAAAATACATCAGTGTTACGAATCACATCAGCTAATCGTCATTTCATTTTTCACTACATAGTCTATTAGACATTTTCAGTATTATGGTTTATAAGAGAAAAATAAATGTGTTGATATGCCAGATTGCAGCGACAGCCCAATTTCAAAAAGCTACACGTATTTGATTTTAAAATCGTTAACATCAAGAAGGATTTTTCTTTGAGTTTTCTTAAATATGTATATACCACTTTTACGTTGTATTTATGGAGTTGTGATCTTGTATTTCCAGATGAACCTAAGGATGACTCGTTTCTGAAAACAGCATTGCGTCTGTCTGTTAATCATTTGAACACACCCGAGGAGGATTTCCCTAGTCCCGCAGAAACAAGAAGTATTAAATACGGGTTCCCGGATGTAGTTAGAAGTTTAAAACCGCATGCGCTAGAACATGCATTCGGACTTAATAATCTTAAAGCCGCTATTAGGAATTACCAGACTGGACAACTTGGCTCCGAGTTTACCGACACTTACCCAGACAACGGCCGTATCGAATTCACCAAGAAATGGGCTGAGTTTCTCGGCAAACGCTCCAACAAGAGATGGGCCGAGTTTATAGGAAAACGATTTGGAGAGTACCTGGGTAAACGGTCAGGAGAATGGCTAGGCTGATTTTAACATTGTCCACTGGTGGAAAATGTATATGCCGGGATATAGATTACGTTTGCTCGGTCAATTTTATTCAAATGAGACTGTAAGTTCAATGCATACAATAAACTGATGTTTAAAGAATATTTTCATGTGGGTATATATCACTAGGGAAAAGGTTAAAAATATGTTTCACATCCGTCGCGATAACATTCCTGGATCATTGTATTGACCAGTCAAGGACATTCAGCAGATGTGTTAGACTTTATTTACATCACATGTATTCAATGACCTTGACCTTTGTTGTCAAGTTGCATCGCTCAATCTTGTAAATATGGTAATTTATTTGTTTAAATGTCTTCGTCGGGTGTGGCGAAAATGTTAAGAATTAAAGAAAATTGAATTTTCCATCAGTCTTTTTCGTATTTTCTCATCTAGGTGAAAGACTAAACTATACATCCCAAAAGATTTGGTTATGGCCGATACTCGTTAAAGGTTCCTGAAATTTGCGAATAAATTTGCGAATGAATTAACTCGTTATTCAAATCACAATATCAGCAATTACATTTTATTTAGAAAACGTCCCTTTAAAAATAAAAACTATAAACAGAAACGATATTCCATCAACAAAAGTTCTATGACTGAAAAAAACCGGCTACACAAACTTATATTTAAGAGAACAGCCTTGTGTCAAAAACGTTTAATTTCATAAACGAGATTTGGAAAAGAAAATGTGTCTGGTTCCCAATGCAGACGGCCATAACTTAATACTTGGCAGAACAATTGGAACCGGCCGTAAACCTGCGACTAAACTTATCTCTCAGTGGACTCATAATACTCGTACCTAAATGTGGTCACTGACGCTGTAGCGTAGGCGACGTTTGTCTCGGTCATATCATAACAGCTCAAAAATCATAAACATATACGTACATGGACAAAAGGACAAAACAAAGCAACTTCAAACCAAGCTTAAAATACGACAACGGGAGGAAGTATGGTATGAACAAAAGCAGGCATCTGTGTCGTTATAAATCTTTGCCCTTTTCAAGATAAAGTTGACTGTAGTTATAAATAGGTGATCTGCCATGCTAGTTAAATTATCTTTCAAATTGGACAGTAGTAATGAGCAGATGATGGCTTATAGACAGGGGTTTCTAAGACAAATATTCAAAGTTAGTATGTAGTGAGCAAATTAAAAACAGTAATCGTATCTAGCTAAAAATCGTCTTATCAAAGTAACCGCTTTCTAAACCACTTATACTTCATCTCCTGATTTAAGGTTTGTCTCACATGTCCCTGTTGTAGACCACATCTCCCACAGGTCCCTGCTGTAGAGCACTTCTCTCACAGGTCCCTGTTGTTGACCAATTCTCTAACAGGTCCCTGTTGTAGACCACTTCTCTCACAGGTCTCTGTTGTTGACCATGTCTCTCACAGGTCACTGTTGTAGACCACTTCTCTCACAGGTCACTGTTGTAGACCACTTCTCTCACAGGTCACTGTTGTAGAAAACTTCTCTCACAGGTCACTGTTGTAGACCACTTCTCTCACGGGTCCCAGTTGTAGACTACTTCTCTCACAGGCCCCTGTTGCAGACCACTTCTCTCACAGGTAACTGTTGCAGACCATTTCTCTCACAGGTCACTGTTGCAGACCACTTCTCTCACAGGTCACTGTTGTAGACCACTTCTCTCACCGGTCCCAGTTGTAGACTACTTCTCTCACAGGCCCCTGTTGTAGACCACTTCTCCCACAGGTCACTGTTAAAGACCACTTCTCTCACAGGCCCCTGTTGTAGACCACTTCTCTCACAGGTCACTGTTGTAGACCACTTCTCTCACCGGTCCCAGTTGTAGACTACTTCTCTCACAGGCCCCTGTTGTAGACCACTTCTCCCACGGGTCCCAGTTGTAGACTACTTCTCTCAGAGGCCCCTGTTGAAGACCACTTCTCTCACAGGTCCCTGTGGTAGACCACTTCTCTCACATGCCCCTGTTGTACACCACTTCTCCCACAGGTCACTGTTGAAGACCACGTCTCTCACAGGCCCCTGTTGTAGACCACTTCTCGCACGGGTCCCAGTTGTAGACTACTTCTCTCAGAGGCCCCTGTTGAAGACCACTTCTCCCACAGGTCACTGTTGACGACCACTTCTCTCACAGGCCCCTGTTGTAGACCACTTCTCGCACGGGTCCCAGTTGTAGACTACTTCTCTCAGAGGCCCCTGTTGAAAACCACTTCTCTCACAGGTCCCTGTTGTAGACCACTTCTCTCACATGCCCCTGTTGTAGACCACTTCTCCCACAGGTCACTGTTGAAGACCACTTCTCTCACAGGCCCCTGTTGTAGACCACTTCTCTCACATGCCCCTGTTGTAGACCACTTCTCTCACAGGTCACTGTTGCAGACCACTTCTCTCACGGGTCACTGTTGTAGACCACATCTCTCACGGGTCACTGTTGTAGACCACATCTCTCACGGGTCCCAGTTGTAGACTACTTCTCTCAGAGGCCCCTGTTGAAGACCACTTCTCTCACAGATTCCTGTTGTAGACCATTTCTCTCACGGATCCCTGTTGTAGACCACATCTCTCACGGGTCACTGTTGTAGACCACATCTGTCACGGGTCCCAGTTGTAGACTACTTCTCTCAGAGGCCCCTGTTGAAGACCACTTCTCTCACAGATTCCTGTTGTAGACCATTTCTCTCACGGATCCCTGTTGTAGACCACATCTCTCACGGGTCACTGTTGTAGACCACTTCTCTCACGGGTCACTGTTGTAGACCACTTCTCCCATAGGTCACTGTTGAAGACCACTTCTCTCACGGGTCCCTGTTGTGGACCACTTCTCTCACGGGTCACTGTTGTGGACCACTTCTCTCACGGGTCCCTGTTGTGGACCACTTCTCTCACGGGTCATCGTTTAAGATGTCCAATGTCACAGTCCATATGTACTTTTTTAACTTTCGTTTGAAGATGTAGCGGAACTGGACGGGATCGATCGTCGGCGACCAGATAGCTCAATTGGTAGAGCGTCCGTCTAGAGTTCGGAGGGTCCCGGGTTCGAACCCCGGTCTGGCCGTTCATTTTTCCTCTCCTGTTACAGAAGATCCAACATGTATGGTTTGGTATATTAAATTAATTATGTATCAGGATTTGATATGTATCATACTTTAAAAAAAAACTAGTCCTGACTCTGCATCAAATTTCGAAACAGAATAAGTGGGACTATCTACAATGCATAAACAGTGGGTGGGGTAGGCCATTTATCTCACGTCATAAAGGACAAGTGGGACACGTCATGACACATTGAGTGTGACGAAGCATCATGCCTCAGAGTAGAATAGGTGTGACTATTTATCATACACGAGAAAATTTGTTTGATCATTATATCATACATCGGACAAGACTGTGTGTTACCACGAAGATTACATCATACCAAACTGAATGGGATTTATACCATACAACAGAACATACTAGGTGGGACACTGTTTTACATGAAAACAGACCAGGTTCAAAAACAAAACCAAAAATACAAAGCAAAATCTTGCACGAAATAGTACAAGATTTACGAACAAATGCCACATTATCGACACGTTTAAGTTGTTGTTTGTAAGTCAGTGAAGTGCTAAGGATAATATCAACAAACGGTGGTATCTCTGTCACCACAAGCACGCTTTATCTCGACTTTGTATGAAGCAAATAGTCACAAGGTATTGTGACCTTGTGCGAAGGAGATAAACTCTGTTGGTTTACTGACCTAGTATAAATGAGTCAAATGTATCTTTTGATCATTGCTTGGTCCGTTTATCATAACTTTAGGTAAACATAGTTATTTGTAGTTAACCCAAGAAAGAGATGTTTTGTTGAATTCTCAAATTTGAATTTGGAGTTTCAAGTCAACATCGCATTTTGCAATACAATATCGTATCGTGGATTCGACCAATTAAAAGTGAAGCAGAGACGAACGTCATATAACAAATCATGATGTTGTATGAATCAGGTAAAAAGAGAAGTGATGCGAGCATGATAAAGTATTCTGTCTATATCTCCTTACCAAGACAGTCTATTAGCCAGTAAGAACTATACAAAGAGTATAAACGCCGAATCATATCCTGGTTAGAAATGGTAACTTTCATTCTGATTCAGTAAGGTAATTTGTTTTAAAAATAGGACCTTGTAAAAATGGGATAAAGCACAGAATGTAATCATAAGAAGCAGACAAAACCGTGCTTGGTAAATATACATATGTTATAAGGTGTTTGTTATATCATGATTTAGTTATACTAATAAGCTACTTAAAAACGCAAGTGCAACATTTCGGAAATGTGTTAAGGTAATAGGATTGTGTCACCATTTCTATGTAGAATTTCTTCAAATTTTGTAGTTATATTGCTTTGAAGTAAAGAAACATTTCTGCCACAAAAAAAATACAGGTTGTCAGAATTTTAAAGGATTTTAAATGGAAATGTATGTAAACAGGAGTGAATTTTGAAGAAAAAAATGAAAGACACATTTTTTTGCAAAATAATGTCAACAAAAATGAAACTGCCATAGATTAACTAAAATTGTGTAAAATAAATTATCGTTAAACGATTAAAAATTGAGACTTGATAATAAAACCATATACACATAGTAATTGCATGGAAGAGTTATCTTTCTTGAAAAACTTCACAGTAGTAAAATAGGTAGCCGGTTTCTTGAAGAACAGAAAAATGGACACATGTGACTCATTGATAAAAAAAAAACTGAATTAATGTCTGGATTGCTTTGAAATACTTTAATATTGAAAGAACATACTGTTCTGTCAATAATAAACATACAATATTCATCAGTTTAATATTAAACATTAGAATATGCAGAAATTGTGATACTGTCTCCCTACATTGGATTTTCAACTAGGGATGTACTTCCTATTTCCGTTTATCAATTCACTCCTATGACTTTAAGCATACAATGGTCTTGTCAGAATAAGGTAAACGTATCAGGCCTTTTTTGAATGTGGTAAACTTCAATATCAAATTAATTCAGTTGTAGTAATAGGATCGAGAAATATCAATCAAATATTAAAGTGCCATTGTAAACTAAATTATAAACATCTCAAAATCATACATAAATCGGAACAAGACGTCAATACAAGAAGACAACAGGAACCGAGAAGACATCAAAACTAAATGAAAAAACAACAAGAATGGATGATATCCCGACACGAACGTTAACAGCCAGAAACCAAGCAGACTCCAAAGCAGAGAGAAAGGCAACACCAGGATCGAAGGAGACAACCAAAACAATGGAAAGGCAACATAAGGATCCAATGAGACATCAAAAATTGAGAGTCAATTCGGGGTCGAAGGAGAAATCAAAAATGGAAAGGCAACACCAGGATCGAAGGAGAAACAAATGGAAA